AAGGGAAGAAAAGTAAAACCAATAATAACATACCAATGAATATCATATATTTGAACTGCGGAGAAAGATACGAAGACATGATTGATCATCGCAGTTATACAGACAACTTAAGCAGTTGTGAAATGAAAGCCTGAAAAAAATTCAGGCCTAAACGGGACTCGAACCCATGACCTCTGCGATACCGCTGTAGTGCAGTGCACTGCAGTGCTCATGGGTTCGAATCCCGTCTGTGGCGGAGTGAAAATATGAACGCATTGGAAGTGGAACCATAACTATTATCAGTGTCTGGAAAACAAGAACATTTCAGCAGAAAAACTGATGGCCAAAAAAACCCTTAAAACTAGAGGTTGAAAATGTTACGACGTTCTGTGGAGTCAGCTACAATCAGTACCTTGCATGCTAAGTCAGTACCTTGAATTCTTGTTTTTAATCCGAGGTTTGCTTGGTATATTGGAATAGGAGTAGCAGAGATTTAAAATCATAGTAAACCAGAAAAATTTTTTGAACCTCCTTAAAAGTACTGAGGGCTCATGTTACTAACTTAAATAAAATAATAATTTTATTGTTAATAACTTAAATAAATAAAATAATCTACAAGTTAGTTATAAGCATAATTGCCGGCTTTCAGTGTCACGCAATTAAAAATAGATCAAAATGAAAATCAAAACAGGTCAATAAATAAAGTCTAGAATCTGGGAAATGAAAGAAGGTAAATATGCAAAGACTCTCGTCAAAATTCTTATGCGAGATATGCGGAGAAATTTTTTTTCCCCAAATTTATAGAGATTTGTATGGAGACGCCATGCTGGTGCCCATCCGTATGGGCACCAACATGGCGGGCGGAAACCAACAGAAACATCTGTCACTGACTTTTGCCACAAAAGCGTGAATTTATCCCTCGAGGAACTCTAAAACATTAAAAAAGAATACTTTTTCTAAGACATGAACTGTTGAGATAGCCAAGTTCCCCTAAATAAGCCACTTTTTTAACTATCATGACAGCTCTCTAGGCCGTCATGTAAATGCCGCGTCACGCAAAAGTTTAGAAATTTAAACGTAGTGTATTACAAAACCAAGAACCCATTCGGAGCGAAAATTTGTATGAATATTAGTTTTCAGCAGCTCCTATACATTATTTAAGTAAAATCTCAGGAAGATCAATAGTTTTGTAGTTCGAATTTTACTGACGTCATGTGAAAACCAGCTATTATTTTTACGAAGTACTTTTAAGTGAATGAAATACATGTCTTCGAAATTTAATTACTTTGCACCCAAAAAAACCCGCAGCATTCCCTAAAATCAGCCCAGTACACATTTAAGCACTGCACAAAAATATTTGAGTGTTTTAAAGACGGAAGAATGATGTGGTTTTGAATGCGAGGCCCTCAAACTTGTTTAATAAAATGGTGCGTTAAAGGTTGATTTTATCGGAATTTGGAAATTTGCATTTTTTTTTTGAAATAAAAGGATATTTTGCCAAAAAAAACTACCCAAAAGTTTTTGCCATGCCCTAGCCTATCTACCATAAAAATATGAGCGAAATCGAATTTTCGACCCTTGCCGAGTTATGTTCCATAGTTATGGACAGGGACGCTTATGGACAAATTAGATCCAGCCAGCAGGGCTTCTAGTTGCTCTGTGAAAACCAGGATCCAGATATCTTGGTTGGTGTTTCCCTCGGACTCGGTGACGCAAAGTTTTGCTGAAGCCTCAAGTTTGGTATCCTTCGACCTCTGTCGTGTACCACAATTCTCACATTTCAGTGTGGTGCACGTGAATGATTCCGCATCGTTTAATCCTTTTTTGCATACTTTGCAGGAACAAAATATGTTCAGCTTTGATACCAAATTGAACTCCGTGGCGGTTATTTCTTTTTCTGGACTTTTAAGCATACCTGGTCCAGTCAGTGTTTCAACTGTTTGTGTCGTAGGGTTTGCTGTCGTGCTTGGTGATGTACTCAGATAGGTAGATCCTTGGAAATTTCTCACCGTGAGGTTGGTGAAGGAGTATGAGTTACCAGTTGCTAAGGTATGCACAAGTGGCTCCCAAATGTGAATCATAGACGAGCCAGTTTTGTCCTCTAACACACAATCTTCCTTCACATGGACTGTTGCCCCAGTGGATCTGAGAACAACAGCCTTGAGATCTTCTTTTCCCATAGTGAGGGAACCACTGATATTTACTTTCTGGTTTGGGTGCAAATTCTTTACTTCAGACACGGTAACTGACATGACAGCACTTGATTCTGCCGCACTTTCAAGCTTTGGTTGGTCGATGCAGCTAAATGACACATAAGCCTGCCTTATGTACGGCTGATTGTTGGTTGAAAATGCATTTGCTATTTTCTTTAACAACAACGTTCTTAAGCTGTACTGGGCTGTTTGTTTCCTCGAAATGTATCAAGGAATCGTGTGTATCAACGCTAAATGTAATACCAACCGTAAATGTAATAAAAATTAATTCTAAATGTAATACTATCTGCAAATGTAATAAAAATCAACCCTAAATGTAATAACTTATCCCACCGTAAATGTAATACAATTTAACGCTAAATGTAATAAGCTGACCAACCGTAAATGTAATACAAGTTAACCTTTAATGTAATAACACGTTACTAAGGGTGGCAAAGGCGTAAGTGGCATCAATATCATTAGTGATATGATATCACTTCAATAGATTATCAGATTACCCAATCACGGTTAATCACCTTTACCAACTAAACCGTTAGGCAGATTACCCCGGGGGGTTACTCCCATACAATACCTATACGGGTATGAATACGTTTTTATAATATGTTTATTTAATT